ATTGTTCCGGCTGATTTGTCGTAAGAGAAAAACATTGTTCCGGCTGAAAAAAAAAGCTGAAAAATACGGATTATAAGAGAAACAAAGAGACTCTACCATATTCCTACGTTTTTTTCCTATTTCTCTGTTTTGCATTTCTTGATTCCAAACAGCCCTGGAATTTAGATAGACATCCCCATTGGCTAAAACGGATCCATAGCTTGTGCTTATTATGTAGCCAAGGTGTCCAACACTATCTAGCAAAACCATGCTATGCTAGACACCTAGTGGTAGTGGTATACTGACTAGCATGCATTGGGATATGTATGTACTCCACAGTCTCCACTAGATAGGCATACGTCGTGACCAATGGTGCACCGCAGCACCGGCACATGAAAAGATCTAGGCTTCACTCGGAGGGCAACGGAGAGAACAGCAAGCAGCATGAACGGCACAGGCCAAAAGTGCTTCATGAACCGTGGGTGCAACGCAATCCAGCGCGCTTTTGTTTCTGTTGCGTTGCTGTTGGGTCTGCAAGGGAAAACCGGCGTCATGATCGCGACCTGTTCTGGACACAGGGGTTATCCTTTTGTTAATTCAGTTTATCTACTCCTTGCATTGTGCATACAGTACATCTTTTAGTTTTACGATTGATGTAAATGTATGTACTGTTGACAAAAAGGCCAGTTTTAATGGAGAATTTTTTTTCAGCATTTATTACAGTGACACATCAGTAAAAACATTGAGCTAGCAAAGAAGTGAAGAGTAGAAGAGGATGAGTTTCATCTCTGTAGAGAGAAGATGCCGAGCGTCTACTCAAAATTGGTGAGGAACGAGGATTCTATGGTTTGTTGAGGCAACAACATTGATCGTATGTATGGGCAACAGGAAAGATGTCCAAATGCGTGAAAGGGCTAATTCACTCGAGGAGATTAGTCCTGAATATAATTCTTGAGGTTTGTGGTATCACATGATCTTTAATATATTCTCCACGACAATGTTTTGTTTGTCCACCTGAAATTTCAAATACGAGATATGGCCACATATAGAATTTGAGTATAATTTTGACTGGCGACATATAAATATGAGATGTGCCAATACTAAATTTGAGTATAACTTTGAACGGTGACATATATAGTTTACGAGATGTTTTACGGTGCTTGGGAGGAACCGGTGGGTTCCTGTGGAATCCCGGTTCCTCCTGTGGAATTTTTTATGAGCCGTATGATTTAAAAGTAATTAATTAAATATAATTAAGAATAGTTTAGTCATTTTAGTGCAGGCATTACCTTTAATCGTTATCTTTTTCTTTTGCACCGAACGCACACATGCATCAGCGTCGGACAGTTCGCCGGCTCGCCGCCACTGGCCTGCACGAGGCGCAAAAGCGCCGGCAGTCTGTCCAGGCTCACCATGGCCTGCCTGCAGGGGCTCGTCGGCGCCCGCCTGCAAGAGCCTGCGGCTTGGCTGGCTGCGAGGGATCGACGCCACCCGGCACCCGCCTGCATGGGGCGCACGGCGGCCGCCGGTCTGTCCGTGGCTCGCTACCAACTGTCTCAAGGGGCTCGACGGCACTGAGCTTAGCAGGGGCTGCTTGGTAATGAGATTTCCATCCTCATCCAATGTAACCGTTCTAGATGAACCACATTCACTACAACAAGATTGATGACCAATCAACGATTCAAGCCTGAGATGGTAATTGGCAATACTGAATTTGTGGATTCAGGCATTTCGGAAACCTGATGCAAGCTTGAATGAAAAATTCAATTTATAACTTCTTAGCTTACTGTGAACCAAATCCGGCAACGAGTTCAATGTGCTTCCTCTAATGAACACAGAATTGTTTTTATACTTGTGTTTATGGATTCTAGGGAAGTGAATGATGCTAAGAAGGTCGTGAGCTTCGCGGCCATAATGGCCTCTGTTGCCCTGCGGCCCTTGCTTCGCATTGGCCACTCCTACTTTGCTTGGATGCTGTTGTGCCTGCACCCTGCTCTTCTCCGGCGCGCGTGCGCTGCAGTACACGTGATCCCATCTTCGCGCAGGCACAGCACAGCCGCACAGCCATGTTCCTGGCGGCGCCGCCGCCATAGCCACGAGTCCACCCAGCGGCGCCGCATCGAGTCGACGAAACGGCGGGTACGCGGGCGGCAGCGCGCCACCGCCGCCAACAGCTCCTCGAGCGTGAGCGTCGGGAAGCCCGCGCTGCGGTGGACGGCGTGGGACTTCCACCGAACGCAAATACTATTATACCCTTTGGGAAAAAAATAGAAATCAATCCACTAAATTTAAGTTCCAGTCCACGGCTTAAATTCTTCTTATTAGATTCCTTCCTATTTTTAACCATTAGACCTAAGTGAATGAAAGGCTCTCATTATTTTCAAGCACTGTAAAAATTCTCATAGTTTACCTAGGACATTTGATCACAAAGTCTTGCAAGAATTATATGCTACAGCTAGTTTTTAAAACAGTGAGATGAAAAATTACGGAGAGAGAGCGTGTTTCGTTAATTCCTCGGCAAAAGCTGAGGTGGCATCCTTCGAAAGTGGGACATGAAATTCCCAGCTCCGACTGCTCTGCTCAGACTACCCTGATAAGAAACCCTGTCTCCCCCATGGTCACGACACTTTCAAACCTTCTCGAAACCAGCCACCGCCGGAAGGAAGGACGCCTCTACGGCGACCGAGCATAGAAGAGCGCAGTACATACTCGTGTGTCTTCAAGTCCAGCAGAGCTAAAAATAGACGGGGCTAAATTACAGGGACCTCCATCAACATCGCCGAGCCCTGAAAAAACACAACACGAAGCCAACAATGGCTATTTATAACATCTCCCCTTTCTCTCTCCTCCCCTCCTTAGTCCTTAGCGCGCGCCGGCCGCCTCCGCCCATCGTCGTGCCATGCCATTGCCGAGAAGACGATCTTGCAAGGAAAGCGCGCGCGCGCATGCAAGAACGTCATCACATAGAGGAGCAGCAGGAGGTGGAATCGAAGGCTTGATCCCTGTTTAGACGGAAGAGGTCGACGAGGTCTGCAAAAGCTCTTTGCATTGGCCGCCGGAGTGGGCTGCGGTGCAGGTGGATCGATCGCATGCGAGGAGGATGCGAGTGCTGGAGGAGGACCCGTACCCGTCGACGCCGGGGAAGGTGAAGGTGGAGCGGGCGGGGGCGATGAGCCGGCACCTGCACCGTTGCTTCGCGTCCACGGGGACCATGTTCCTGTGGGCGCTCTTCCTGGTGGCCATGACGGCCACGTACCTGAGCGTCCACTCCTTCGTCGACACCTCCTCCCGCTACTTCGCGGCGTCCTGGGGCGGGCTGCACTGGGAGCGCCAGATCCGGGCGTCGGCGTCGCCGCGGCGGCCGCCGGGGTCCGCGGAGGGCGCCGGGCTGTCCGTGCTCGTCACGGGCGCCGCCGGCTTCGTGGGCACGCACTGCTCGCTGGCGCTCCGCAAGCGCGGCGACGGCGTCGTGGGCATCGACAACTTCAACTCCTACTACGACCCTTCCCTCAAGAAGGCCCGCCGCGCGCTGCTGGGCTCCCACGGCGTGTTCGTCGTGGAGGGCGACATCAACGACGGCCGCCTCCTGGCCAAGCTCTTCGACGTCGTGCCCTTCACCCACGTGCTCCACCTCGCCGCGCAGGCCGGCGTGCGCTATGCCATGGAGAACCCGGCGTCGTACGTGCACTCCAACATCGCCGGCCTCGTCTCCCTCCTCGAGGCCTGCAAGGACGCCGACCCGCAGCCGGCCGTCGTGTGGGCGTCCTCCTCCTCCGTCTACGGACTCAACGACCGCGTCCCCTTCTCCGAGGCGCACCGCACCGACAGGCCGGCGTCGCTGTACGCCGCCACCAAGAAGGCCGGCGAGGAGATCACCCACACCTACAACCACATCTACGGCCTCTCCGTCACTGGCCTCCGCTTCTTCACCGTGTACGGGCCGTGGGGACGCCCCGACATGGCCTACTTCTCCTTCACCCGCAACATCCTCCAGGGGAAGCCCATCACGGTGTACAGGGGCAGGGACCACGTCGACCTCGCCCGGGACTTCACCTACATCGACGACATCGTGCGCGGCTGCCTCGCGTCGCTGGACACGGCGGGCCGGAGCACCGGCACGGGCGGTAAGAAGCGCGGCCCGGCGCCCTACCGGATCTTCAACCTGGGGAACACGTCGCCAGTCACTGTGCCCACGCTGGTGTCCATCCTGGAGAGGTACCTGCGGGTGAAGGCCAAGAGGAACGTGGTGGAGATGCCCGGCAATGGCGACGTGCCCTACACACACGCCAACATCAGCTTGGCACGGGAGCAGCTCGGCTACAAGCCCACGACAAGCCTGGAGATGGGGTTGAAGAAGTTCGTCAGGTGGTACCTCTCCTACTACGGATACAATCGGGGAACGCATACCTTCAGGAACTCATGATGATCAGTATGTGATTAGTAAATGTCGCTCTGTCGTGCCTTCCATTTTCTTCTGATCAAAGATTGGCATTTTTTGGGTCCAGACAAGTCGGGGACGGAAATGCAAGGAAGAATAGAATTCTGTTGTAGCTGGGTGAGGAGAGGAGGGAAAGGCGACAGAGCGATGAAATGGAGGGGTGATGTGATCCCCTTCATTCTGTATTTTCTTCTGTAAATTGTATCAATTGTTATAGTGTTATCCTTTCTTTCTCAAAATTTACTCATCATCACATATAACAATAGCAACTTTGGGGATCTTACTAGGCAAACAGACAGGCCACTTAACAGGTGCCTGAAAGAAACATAGCAGCTGATGTTACCTGACACAATGGTGTGATAGCATCCTTTGAGCAGGGACTGCATTTTAATTCCCAGCTCAATTTATTAGATATCTAATAATGAGTATCCTCCTTCCTGACCTCTACAGATGATTTCGCAGGGAACATGACTCCCAACAGAGAAGCTAAAGCTTATGCTCATCTTTTAAGGCCCCTTCTGCTCCTGGCGTATGAGGTTTTCACACAAATTTTGGAGCAATTTTATTGACATAGATTTTGATTTCAGCATGAACCTGGAAAAACTTCTGTGCTCATCCCAATTTTGACAATGGGCTCAGTGATCTCATCATCTTCCAAAATAGGCAGTGATTCCTTTGAATCTGCGGTGCACGTAGTTCTCTTCACTCTGGAATGATCAGAGATCAGACAGGTCTTGAAACACAAAAGTTCCCTCGAAAATGCTGGAAGTTTGATAACAGAGTTAAACAAAAAACATACCTCAAAATCTAAGGGAGGGCAAGACAGCCAGGAAAGTTCCTCCACTTGAGTCACGTCCACGGTCCGCGGCAAGAACATCATGATGTTAGGAGCTATTTTCTGAGCTGCTCGAAATGTCGCATACCTACACACGAAGCCCTAAGCTTACCGAGATGATGTTCTTCGGAAAGCTCCTGATTCATAATGTTTCATCATGATTACTAGTCAAATACTAGCCAATTATACATACTTTCACATTTTTCTTGAGCAAACTTTGATGGCCATAGCTACAGACTTACAGAGCAAAATGTAGTTGCTTATCGGTGTTCTCTTATCTTTCAGATAGGGCAAACAAAGCGGACAACATACCTGTCTTTCGGCATCAGCATATCAAGGGTGTAAACTGGAGCTTGAATGTATGATGGCCCTCCCCAGGGTGGTGAAAGGAACACCAAATCAGCCTGGTGGCATTAAGGCAATCAATCAGCAAATAATTTGAAAGATGAAATAACTGCACGTTCTTCTTTACAGTGACAGTATGTTCAGGTGTCAGGGTACAGATATAAGTATAGGTTCAGGATTCTGAAATCAGTGGCCAAAGCTTGGTCGGTTGGTCGCACTGAGCTCTCATAAACTTTGACGATCTTTCAGTCTCCCTGCACTACTGAAATCCCTGCGCTACTGAAACTATTAGACGATACCTTGAGGAAAGGCGCCAGGCGGAAGAAGTCACCGACAATGAACTCGATCCTGTCCTCGACGCCGTACACCCTCGCGTTGAGCGCCGCCAGCTCCACCTTTCGCGGGTCGATCTCCACGGCGACCACGTGAGGCGCGGCGGAGGCGGAATCAGCAGCAGGGGAGAGGGCAAAGAGAAACGGGAGACGGGATGGCGCGCCGCGTAGTGCCCGTCACGTACCTGGCGGCGAACTGGATGGAGTTGCCGCCGCACCCGGCGAAGGCGTCGACGACGAGGTCGCCGGGTGCGGCGCGGGCGGCCTGCGACGCCGCGATGGACTCCGGGGTGGCGGAGTACCAGCCCTCGGCGTCCATGCGCACGCCGCGGTCATAGAGGTTGAAGAGGCTGTACCGGTGCGCCCAGTACTTGCCCGCCACGGCCGCCTCGGAAGCGGAAACGGCGGCGGCATCGGGGCTCCGTGCCTCGACGTCCTGCTCCTGATTTTCATCCGCCGCCCTGATGAGGCTCTTGGGCTCCCTCGGTCTCGCGACCTTGCGGGCAGACTTGGCCGTGCGGCGGGCGGTTTTGGGTGTAGTGGCGCCGAGAAGGCGGAGGAAGCGGTGATGGGTCCTCTGGAGGAGCCGGACGGCGTGGGCGCCGCGCCGGCTCCGGGACTCTGGCGCGGCGGCGGCGGCGCTTCTTTTCGCCATGCCCTGTTGTTTTGTTATACCGCTGGTCTGCTTATGCTGGCGGCGGGACCGCGGGCCCTCGATGCTTCAGAGACGAATTTTGAAGGCTGCTAGTTTCAAACACTTCGGCTGTTTTAGCGAGGGAGACGACCAAAGAACAGAACGAGGCCAACGCATTGGAGCCAGCAAAGAGTACAAATTTGATATCTCAATGTTTCTTATTCAAAACTCTCAATGTTCTTGTAACCAACAATTCTTATATAGTTACTAAAAGATGGGAATAGAAAACAACTGGATCAGCTCACACGCGGCAGTTCAATTCAACATAAACAACAACATAATTTGAAGGAGACGAAATTCCAGACATACATGTTTCTTAACGTTTTACATTCCTGGTGTGCGATTAAATATGTGTGATCCGTTGGGTGCAGCGACATGCCGACATCCTTCGCCAGTTCCTTTGCAGATCTGAGGCTTAGAGTGACCACGAGATCGACCATGGGATATGTGTGTTTGAAAGGTTCTGCATAAGATATGTGGTAAGCTCCTTAGCAGGTCCAAGAATCCAGAAAGATCATGGATGAAAAGCCGGCAATCAGGACATCAGCAGTGCAAAGAGAACTTACTGCGGGTAAAGTAGAATTGTTGCTTCCAAAGAGAACAGAAAGGCAACAGAATGCATGGTTAATGCAATATGAGCCTCACAAGTACTTGGATAGCCAAGGAAGATCTGGGGATTCCTTGAGGGCAAATGTCACATCGTCACTGTCAACCGAGAAAACAGAGTTATTAGATCACGAGCAAGAGAAAGTAGGTTTAAACTGATGTTTGGCTCTGATTTAGGTGGTGTTTAAATCCAGAGAGTAAAGCTTAGGGATGTCACATCGAGGTGTCACATGGGAGTGTTCGGATAGTAATAATAAAACAAATTACAGAAGTCCTCAGTAATCCGCGAGACAAATTTATTAAGCCTAATTAATCCGTCATTAGCACATTTGTACTGTAGCACCACATTTTCAAATCATGGACTAATTAGGCTTAAAAATTCGTCTCCCAAATTAGTCGCAATCTTTGCAATTAGTTAATTTTTTTTATCTATATTTAATACTCCATGCATATGTCCAAACATCCGATGTGATAGGGAGTAAACTTTAGGGGAGGAACTAAACAAGGACTTAAAAAGTTTTTAATGCTGTCTCCAAAAGCTGACCTTGGATAGTTCAGCTGCAGCTTCTGCAACTTGTGCTTACTACCCTCTTCGCAGAGGATGATCTTGCTTTCACCAAGCTTGCAGCTGCGAATGGAACATATACAAAAGTTACTGATAGAGCACTGAACTAAATCAAAGGGAGAGTAAATAAAAGTTAGAAGAAATGAGAAGTGATTGAACATCAGCACAAAGTATCAGTGGTTCTATCTCGTTAGAGAAGAATGAAATGCCACAGATGATGAAAACGTCCAACAGGAGAATTTTCACAAGTACTAATTCCCAGCTAACTAAAAGCAACAACTGCATTCAGTACAAGAAAAGATATGCCAATTGGACCACCCTGAATAATGTATTGTCCAAGTTCACAAATTCCACACAATCTTCACATGCTCAAAATGTCAACACGCGAAAGATGCAAAGGATGCAATAGCAATTGAAATGGATGTCAGGCTGAAGCATGCACTAGGCTGAAGCATGCACTAGTCCATATAGTCATTGCTTTCAATAAATATTTACTAGAAAACTACTAACTCCGTAGTCTGTCCCAAAAAAAAGAATCATTCTAGGTAGGCCAACTAGACTACCTTGCGTCTAGTATACTGAAAACTAGTCCATATAGCCATTGCTTTCAATATACTAGAAAACTATTATCTCCGTCCCATAAAAATATGTTATTATGGGCTTGTCCTTAGTCAAATTAATTTAAGTTTGAACAAGTTTACGAAGAATACTGTCAACATTTATGACATGAAATATGCATACTATGAAAATAGTTCCATGATGAATCTAATGGTACCTATTTGGTAATATAGATATCGGTATTTTTTTACCATAAATTTTGTCAAACTTAAGATAGTTTGGCTGAGGACAGAACTAGAACGTCAAGTTCTTTGGGACAGGTATTATGATACATGCAAATGCTAGGGTTGGAAGTTGCAATAAGAACATGGCAATGTAACTGCATTTGCTATGGCACACAGAAGCAAAGGCAACACCATCACTAGCCACATTACACATGATGGTATGTGTACATGAACTCATGGAGTCAACTGTATGTATAAGGAACTTGAAAACAGTTTCATCTATTGCAAGCTACACATTAGATTGGATTAGCATACCAAATTTTCACGAGCGTGTCGTAACCAGGCACTAGTTCTCTGTTGGCATGGCACCAGGAGAAAACTGTTGTTGCTAACTACAGAAAAAGAAAATATCTCGTTAGATTTCTTTAGAAGCACCCATACTAGTATTATGTGCATGGCCCCAAACAGGCAGGACATAAACAAGAGCAGTACTGTTAACATCTTGCCACTATGAAACTTCCAAGGTAAGCATGAAACAGTTCATTGCATACCTCAGTTCACATGGAAACTTAATCAGATATGAAGCTAGTGGGGGGAAAAGCACCACTTAGTGTATGAAAGTATAATTAAGACTGGATGATAATCATTGAAATGAACAATACAGTGAAACAATATTGCACTTGCAATAGTTCCATCCATCTTTACAATTGCAGCAGGGTAAGATAGAAAAGGGAAAAAAATAGTTAATGGAAATAGGGGACTGCCTAAAAAATGAACAAGGGATTCTGAATCCTGAATGAAGTCTGGAAGTCCAACAATACAATGTCAAGAAAAGTTTAGCCATCAGAAAAAAAAAATGTCAGCAAAACAGAGGAAATCCCAAATGAACAATTTGTAAGGTAGTTTTTAGTCCGCCGTCTGCATACCCTACTGCCAACATGGGGTGAGACAGCCACACAAGGGGTCGTGCCAGACATAACTGACGCTACAAATTTATGTACCAATGTAACTCATTCTAAGTATTGGATTTGAGTCAACATCATGGCACATAGGCAATTAAGCATGTAAGCCTAAAGGCCATCTGTATACTCTGACTCCTGGGCTTGGCAAGGCCTTTTTTTATTTCCACCAACAGAATTAAAAATCAGAAACATAGCGGCTAAAAAGTAAAAAACACACAAAAGATAATCTAACTCACCTTATCAAACATTATTTCACCTAGTCCACTTTTGTACAGCTCATGAACTAAGGCAACCAATATAACTTTTCCAAACTTTGGGCAATTCTTCATCACCTGTAAACAAAGAGACAAAAATGTTGCAGAGATCCAAAGAATGATGGGTGGTCGAGTGACTTTAATAATTGATCTGGTTATGGGTACAAGCTCGCATAAATACACATTGTCAACAGTCAACTCACTTGAATATGTGGTGCCTGGAAGACTTCCTGAATTGCAGCTTCTATGTCACCCATGCAAACAACACTGTCACCTACAAGTATCGGATTCGTGTTCAGTGGATTATATGCAAGTTGGAATTTGACCCAAACAATGGAAGGTTGAAGTCGTAAAACCATAACACGAATGGTGGATTTGTACTGGTGGTCGAGATTTATGTGACTTTTAATCCAGTGTACACACTTTTTTCTTGAATAGTTGATTCCAACACAAATGCACACAGTACCTTTATTTGCAGAAACAGTACTCTGTGCAGAGTGTTTAACACGGTAGTCTGCAAACTCTGCTGCCCGTCTACAAATCTCTAAAGCTCGCCTAGCATCACCTGACATAGCAGCTACCTACAAGCAAAGGCAAGTAAATGGAAGTCCAAACCAACATTACAATAGAAAATGGCATAATCTTCGTACAAGTTAATTAGTGACAAGTGAGGGGCGTAAATTGACAGCCATTTAAAATTCTTTGTTTCTCCAGGCTTCATAAAAATTGATCTCTGCAATGTGAACTCATTTAATGTAGTCCCTATGGTTATGAATTACACTTTGGCTAAAATACGGTCAATATTTTTAAAGTTTGGCCATTCAGTTTGCAAAAATGAAAATCACATGCAAATATTTGTCTTGAATAACACTTTCAAAATCTCATGCATTTATTAGATGTTATAACTTATCTTAGAAGAAAAGGTATGGTCAAAATTGCACCACGAAAACTATAAAAAGCAAAAAAAATGTCATGAGTTCTTTTACTAGAGGGGAGTACTAATATTTTACTTTGATTTGATGCCTAACACAAGTATCATGAGTTCATTTATAATCAACCACAACATGAACTTATCACCTCATGTGTTCCAAGGAAACCTCAAAAATGGTGGAATGATGCAGAAAGCAACAGCTATGGATAAAAAGACATCACAGCAACATAGAAACATGGTAATGCAAGGCAAACCTTTCTAGAAGCAAATTCAATAGCCTGTTCCTCAATGGCATCAATACCCTTTAGACGGCTTGTAATAATTTCCTGCAGTTGCCTATAATTGTATGGACCAAAACACAGTCGTTGGATACCCATCCGACTTGATATACGAGGCAACAACTTTTCTGGAAGATCCATTGTGTTTGCTATACCTGCGATCATAGCAAAACAGACAAGGGGTAAGTAAAAGGTAAGGCTAAAATCACCAGTCAAAATTAAAAAAAAAATAGCTAGTTACCTATAACAACTAGATTTGAATTTGGTTTCGTGGGCCAATCAAGAATGTTATACAGCACCTGATAAGAAAAAAATACCAGTGTCAAATGATAGGAAAACAAATGATAATACCAAACAGCTAGTTTATTTATTAATCTCCCTGGTATAAAACCTATGAGCAAAATAAACAATTATAATTTTGGATTGAATTATTACCGATTGGTTTCTTGTCAAAAGAAGATCAAGCTCATCAATGAGCAAAATAATTGGCTGGTTTGCTTGCTTTCCAATTTTAGTGCCACCTGAAAAATGTTCTGTTAAATAGTGAAGAGCCTTTTTCCACCCAACCCTATGCCCACTCAAC